CTCTCTCTCTCCCTCTCTCTCTCTCTCTCTCTCTCTCTCTGCGGCCGATATTTGTTTAATATCTAATAATCATCCGACCAGCGTGTCGCAACGATCATTCCTCTCGACCTATTTACCGACCGCCGGAATTAGTGTCAGAATTATTAACGGATGCGCGCATGCGACAGCGCGAGCGCGGAGAACGCAAATTACGCGCGTTACGCGCGAACGAAGACTGGCAGACGCTTTGCGAAGGAAAGAAATTGCACGGCCGCCAATAAGCGCGCCGGGAATATTCCAGCGACGCGACCGGTGGCATTAAAGAATCCGGATGATATTAAAGAATAATATATTATTCCTCCCGCGATGTAAGTTTATTTATTTATCGACAGTAAAGCGTGCCCCGATATCGCTCGGCGTATGTTGGGCGCGCCTCGCGAGTTCTGCCGTCTCTGCAGAAATTGGTACAGGTGGATCGGAAGAAATGAGAGTACACACAGTGCTTTCATATTTTTAAATTAATATATATATATATATATATATAATTCTTATAATCACGTGGATTTCTTTCGGAGGGACTTTGATGATGGGGTAAGGTAAGGAACGGAGGTAGGAGCGGGAGGAGGGAGGGGGGCTAGGGAGTGTACAATATACAATACAAGCCACGGAATATCACGATTCTCGTGTAAGAAGTTAGACTCATGTTTGACGCGGCCACGCCTGGGCCGCCCGTTTCTCTTTTCCTTTCGGTTTCTTTCTCTCGCTTTCCTTCTTTCCTTCCCTTCCTTCTTCCCGTTTTTATTGCTTTTTTCTGTTTTCTTGTCGACAATATGGTTCGCGTCGCTTCGAGCGCAGGAGAGTGCACCGAACGAAGCCAGGAAAATTATGCAAGGGTTGAGCAAATTCTCGAAGATCCGGAGGTTCGAGAGAGAACTGCGAGACGCGACTTTGAGACCGCGAAAGACCGGAGAATTCCCCATTTTCTTCTTCTTTCTCTTCTTCTTCTTCTCCTTCTCCTTCTTCTTCTTCTTCTTCTTCTTCTTCTTCTTCTTCTTCCCCTACGTTCCATTCTCTTCCGCGCGATCGCAGCTGCTTATAAAATTCCGCGACGGACGACGCGAATCCGTCACAACGCGCCCGAACACAAACGAGTCGTGCTAATCGAAGGAGCAGATGGACGAAGAAAAAATGTCTCATGCAGTCGGCACCTCGGAGGATGATTACACGCAGGCTTCAACGTTTAAATTAATACGCGTCTTACGGTGTGTGTATATGTGTGTGTATGTGTGACTCAATATTGTACACAATCTCTTCGTCCATATAGACTAACTTTCACTAAGAAGAACCATCACAGCACTAAATTGATAATACGTATGGTACAATCAGAGGGGGAGGGGAGGGGGGAAGAATAACATTTATCCATACAAATAACTTAAGTCGAGTTTAGAACGCGACAAGTCCTCTCCTCATCCACTTGCCCGCCTCAATCGTGTGTGTGTGTGTGTGTGTGTGTGTGTGTGTGTGTGTCTGTACATATCGATCAGTTTCTACTTCCGCACCGTCGGAGCGCGTCGCGCGCGGCTGGCTCGCCTCTCGTTCGTCATTCGCGCCGTACATTTAGCGCTAAATGCGGCGGCACTCGTTTTTCGCACACCCGCTGAATTCATTCTCTCTTTTTCTTTCCGATACAAACGATATTATTCGGGGCCTAAAAATCAGCTCGTACAGTTCGGCAATAGGCTGGAGCGGCGTAAGTATGTACAGTATGTTCGCCGGACATGCTCGATGAACGGAAGTCGTCGAAACCGATAGCCCTGTGGTGCAAATACAAGACGAACGAAGAAACGGTAACAGATGAACGCGAGCGCGTTATATTACAAATACAAACCGTGAGATTCGTGGAAAACGTTCACCTTTTGCGACTCGCAGGCGACCACGGCTCACTATCGACGCGGCTCTCTCTTTTTCCTCATTACGTACAGGTGTCAATTGGATAAAGGTAGTTCCTTGTAGTGTGTTTTCTCCCCCTCCACGCGCGTTATCTCTTCTTATCGAATTGCTATTCCGGACAGGCTCACATCAGTAGTGATCGCGGCGGACTCTCTGTCGCTCGATGTCGGCACGGCCCCGAGTCGATGATCCGAGAATCACTTCGTGTCTCGATCGAGAATCACTCGGCGTCGTCCCACCGAAAATTTCGCGCTAGGCCGATCTTTACCTGTCGCGTCGCGTCCCGTCGCGACCGCGGTATCCCGTTAAAGAAAGCCGAACCGATCAGTTTCATCGCGCGGTAGTTGCGCTCGCGACTCCGTCCGAGATTATTGCTTTCGGATTTTACAATGTTTCGCTGCCTCGTAATCGATTCGGATTTACAGATGTATTACAACGACGATGCTCGCTCGGCGGGTACAGCGGGTATCGTAAAACGGAGTGAAGCTGATCGGAATCGCATTCGAAGGTCCGATGATGTCTCTCGTTTTAGTTAATGTATTCGAAGACGGGAGAGACGTGGCCGCTAACGTGATCGATCGATGCGTATTCGTACGATCGTGTCGGCACTAATTGACTCGATGTCGGCGTCTCGGCAGGCAAATTTCCCCAAAGTGTCACGCAAATTGGAAATGCCCCTACTCGGTCGGCCGCTACTTCGGGGGAGAACGCGGACATTTTCATATTTGCACAAACGCGATGTGATAAAACTCGATTGTTTACGTGGAATGCGAAGCGAACGGCCGCCGCCGCCGCCGATCTCCCATCGCCGTTGACTTACCTTTCTTTTACCGCTGTTTTAGCCGACAACGATATCGAATTCGCTGAAACGAGAGATCGCGAATCGCGGTCGATCCATTGGAGTTTTAGCCCCGTTTTACGATACTCTGTGCCGCAGGATCGCGAAAGCGCGCGATTACGCGGCTGCGTGGCGTGTTTTGAGGATCCGAGCAAGGGCTTGAGCCCGATCATCGTTTGGACGACACCGGCGACGAATGAATGTCGACGACGGTGTGCGGAATAATACCGAGCTGGGAAATCAGCGATCATCGGGAGATGATCGCCGCGCATTGTCGTCGCTCGCTTCGCCGCAAGCGCGTGCAAACGGCAAACGGCCTCCTTCCAGCCTCGGAGGAGGCTTCCATTCCCGGAAGTCTCCTTGGAGATAACCGCCACGTTCTCCCGCGGGCATTTCGCGCGATTTCACTTTGAATCACCCCGTTATCTACCATCATCCCGGACGTCACGTGTTTTCCTTTTTTCTTTTTCTCTTTAAACCGCTTCTATTGTATTACGTACGTGTGCAGTGTCGCGCGATAACGCTTCCCCTCTGCTCCTCAAAGTGACTCTCGCCAGCTGATTGTAATCGTCACTCGACGTTCTCTATTACACGTTTAATAGTTATCTACACCGATCGCTACTGTTTATACAAATTGCAGGCTCGGTCGGATCTCTGGTCGGCGCGGTGAAATTTTGGTCGTTTTGCTAAAACGTACGGCGTTGAAGCGACGAGCAAATACCGTAAAAAATTTTTCTCCGTTATTTTCCGTCTTACTGTTCTTTTTTTTTTTTTTTTTTTCTTTTTTCTTTTTCGAATTCTTCGCGAGTCGTTCTGTCGTTCGCTGTAGAAGATAAATCAAACTGGTCCACGGCACGGCGCGCAAGTGATGTGTCGTTTCTTGTTCTACGGAAATGTGCCGTTCTCCGTTCTCTGCTCGGCTTCGTGAATAATTCGTGCGATCGTCTGCGAAATGGAAAGACACGACAGGCGACGATCACAAGAGAGCCCGACCTACCTCGAATCTACTAGTAAAAGGTCGAGAGAGAGATTATCCGTAAAAAGTCGCGAGGAAGATCGCCGAGAGCGCGGGATGACGCTATCCTCTCTTCGCTGTTCGTAAAAAAAGCACAACTCGTCGGAAGTGATAATAACCGATGAAACCGTCCGCGGAAACGAGCGAGCGGATCACTCCCGTCGCGTCGTTTCGACCGACGATCTTGCTTCCGACGCGTTCTTGAAAGAACACGAGCCTCGGCGGCACGGCGACGTAGAATTTTTTGAGAATAAGAATATCCGCGGGAGCGGCGCCTGCTCTCGAGTGGAATCGATCCGCGGTTTACGCTGCATCGCGCTCTCTCTCTCTCTCTCTCTCTCCCCCCCCCCCCTCTCTCTCTCTCTTTCTCTTTCTTTTTTTCTTTCTTTTTTCGGAGTCGTCGACCCGGCTCCGTGGTTCTTCGGATTTGGAATTCCTCGTGTGTGCGTGTGTTTTTTTTCTCTCTTTCTTTGCTCTTTTTTTCTCTCTCTCCTTTATCTTTGTCCTCTTTGCATTTTCGAGGCGTAAATCGGGCAGCGTGCATTTATGCGTGTTTACGTCTCTAATCGTTACCATGTAATATATTTAATAATTAGTACAGAGAGTATATAGATGTGTTATTTATATTTATATATATAATATTTATATATAATATAATATATATAATATAATATATATAATATCACTATTATATATTCATAGGGTACATATGTACAGGGGCTGCAAATAGTAGGAGGTGCTCTTATATTGCAATATCGTTCTCTGTTCTCTTGCCTTAAGTCCTAACGTTCACAGGTAGACGTAGACTCACACAGGACACTGATACGCTCGCAGACTTTCCCCCTCTCTCTCTCACACACACACATACACACACACACACCCCCCCCTCCCTCCCCCCCCCCCCCCCTCCTCTCTCTCTCTCTCTCTCTCTCTCTCTCTCTCTCTCTCTCTCTCGCTCGTTCGCTCAATCTTTCTTCTTCTTGCACCCTCACACACGCACACGCACTCACACTCTCTCTTCCCCATTCGTCTTTTCCTCTCGCTACCTTTCTACCGCACTCACCCTTGCGTCTCGTTTAATTTACAGTAACGTGATCAGCGCAGCGTCCGCGTCGAGTCCAACGCACCTCGTCTTTCCTCTCCTCTCCTCTCCTCTCCGTTCGGCTTCTCTTCTTCCCTCCCCCCCCCTCTCTCTCTCTCTCTCTTTCCCTTTCCCTATCTCTCTCATTTTCTCTCCTTCTCTTTCCCTCTCTTTCTTCATTTTTTCCTTTCCCCTCCTCCTCCAGGCTGTCCTTCAACAGAGACGTACATTCCTAACGCGCGATCGTGCTCTCGCGAATCGCCGGGGTCTATTTACAGATACAGGAAACACGCGAGTAGGGACTTTCCTTCCGTTCCATCCCGAAAGCACGAAGGGCGCCGCCGCCGCCACCACTCGCGAGCACACCCCGAGCGCGGCGCCACTCCGGAAATAAAATTGCACTTTGTAGTATAAGAGTCCGGCCTCTCTTCTTTCTCTCTTTCTCTTTCTCTTTTCCCCGCTCCCGTCCGACACACGTCCAGCGAGAATCCCGGGCGGGGGGATGGGGGATGAGGACAAAACCGTAGCGAGTCGAGGACGACGATGACGACGACGACGACGACGACGACGACGACGACGACGACGACGATGACAGTGACAAGAGCGGTCCGCGGAGGACGAGGAGGCATGTAGAATCGAGTACCGACCAGCCGACGTTCCTTCCGCTACGATGGCTCCGACGTGGAGTCCGGCTCCCTCTCGTCGGCGGAGAGGAGGTCCTCCGGGTCGCCGGATTCGTCGCGATCCTCGTCCTCGGGGTCGTCGTCCTTCGTGCTGCTCACAGGCTCGTTCTCCTGTCACGGACTCCCTCCGCCAGCGTCGTCGCCTCTGTGCCCGGGCGTCAGACTAGGACTTCTCCTTCTCTTCTCCTGCAGCCCGTTCACCATGTTCTCGATGGACTTGAGCTCACCGGCGGAGCTGCTGGATGTGGTCGACGTGAGAGTGCCGCCACCGCCGCCGCCGCCGCCGCCGCCGCCGCCGCCGGTGGGCGTCGGTGAGCCGGTCGGTGGCCTCGGTGGCGGTGATCTCGGGCTCAGGGTCCTGCTGCCGGGTGTCACGGTCTCGAATGCGGAGCCGTGCGACGGCGCCGGTAGCGTGTACGGCGCGAATCGGTGGCCCTTGAGCTGGTGCAACGGACTGGCCAAGGGATGGGGGTAGTGGGCGAAGAGCGCGGGGTGCTGTGAGGCGGCCAAGGCCAATTGGGCGTTGAACAACATCCCGGGCGTCACTCCGCCGTGGAGTCCCAGAGGGCTGGGTGGTATCAAGTGACCGGGTCCGGGATAGAGCCCGGGCACCGGTGGGTACAGATACGGCAAGAGGGGCGGGTGAAGCGGCGGACCGACCGAGACGTCCGGTCGCGGCCCTTCCGATGCCGTAGGGCCCGCTCCGCCGCCGCCGCTCTCGGACCCGGAGGACTCGCTGCCCTCGCCTCGCTCGCTCGCGCGGTCGTCCCTCTCGCGGGAGTGCTCCCGTTCCCGGTGGTGGTGGGCCGGGTGCGGCGTGTCGGGCCCTACCACGTCCAGCAGCTTGTCCTCGTCGTCCATGAGATCGGTGGCGGAGTTGGACGAGCGCCGCTTGTCCGGCGATGGTGGCCCACCCGTCGTCAAACGGGAACCGCCGCCCGATACTGTCAGGAGCGCCTGCCTTCTGCAACAACGACGCTGAGTTAGCAATCTTGCGAGGCCCGCGTGCCGCGCTTATTTTACATTTCATCTATTTTACTTTTCTTCCCTCCCTCTTTCTCTCTCTCTCTCTCTCTCTGACCGGCGCGAATTAGCCTGAACTGTGATGCCGCCGCGACGCGCGCGCGGTCTTTCCGCTTGGTCGCGCTGCAGGACTGCAGCGCGACTCGCTGCAGCGCGGAATTGTAAAGAAAGCGCAGCCTTTCGGTGTTTTTCGATTGATTATTGATTTATGGAAAGGCGTGGTCGGCGAGTTATCAATCGTTGGAACGTTAGCGGAGCTGAGCGCGCGGCCACCGGGTAAATGGGTTCCGCCTATTTCGATGTGATTTATCGGCGTACGTGAGCTGACAATCTTTCGAGACGCGAATGCCCAATGATTACAGCTCGCTATAATTGGTTCCGAGAGGTATAACGAGAGGGTCGGTGATAAAGCTACCTCCCTCCTTGACAGTAGTAATTTCGACGCTAAACCGTCGTCCGCTAGATCTCTCGGCGCTCGCGCCGCTTATGTACGCGTCTATACGTCTCAATCGAAAAATTACCGAGCGCGCACGCTCTTGCGAGTCCCTCGATCTTAGGAATTCGTTCTGTTCCGCAGACCCTTTTCTCGGAGGACAGCCGGTGTGACTCACCGGCGCGGCAAGATCCCGCGCGCAATATCCGCGTCTGTTTTTCGGGCAAACGCCGCGCCGCGCCGGCCGCATGAAATCGTCCGTAGTCCCGTAAATTCGACCGAACTCGACTCGCGTCGGGCTTTGAATGGAGTGTCGCTCGCTCTTGAGACAACTTCCAAGCGACGACTAGTCGCACAAGCCAAAGTGCAGCCCGCGCGAACTCGGCCCGAATTTTCGCAAACAGCCAAGGGACGCAACAGTTCTCTAGCCGCGCGTGTCTTCCTCTCTTCTCGCTCTTTCCAAGCTGAGATCTGAAGTCCCGCCGGGCTGCACAGGAGAGCAGCATCTCGATTCTTCTATAGATGACTCACGGTGGGGAAAAAAACGGCAGAAAAATGTGCAGCTCGCGGAATTCCAGGCGAATGAAATATCACGCTCGTTAACGGCGCGTCACGTATCGCGCTCGCGCGAGGGAAACAGGCGCGCGATCGTGCGATCGCGGATCCGAGAGACAGAGAAGTATTGTGTCGAAGAAAATCAAAAGGCTCCGACGCGCAAGGCGCTCTCGAGCGGCGGCGGCGGCGGCGGCGGCGGCGTCCCGCGCTCGTCCACGGCGATAATTCACGCGGCCGCTCGGCGCAAACACGAAAGCGACGAGGCTCTCTGGGATTTATGCGAGCGCCGGTAGCTGTATCGCTCCGAGGCGCGGTCGTGGTATTAGATTAATTATCTTAATTGCGCCTTCAACGCCTTTCCTATGCGCACGGCGAGTGTGTCTCGTGCGCGCTGCCTTCACGTGCGGCTTAACTTTATGCCACTCGCGGCTATTTGCACTTATAAGCGGCCGTGCGAGCGAGCGTAGCGCGAGTCGCGCGCGTGTGCGAGAGAGCGGCGGCTCTCGCATAAACGATGGTCGTGTCGATAGGACGCTCGAGATAAACGAGCGCGCGCGGGGCACAACACGGTTACATTGCGCGCTGCGTCGCGCCGCGTCGCGCCGCGTCGCGAGGAATTTTTTCCGCGAATCGCGAACTAGGTGTGCGGAATCTATCGAGCGTGATTTATCGCGCTGACGTCCAACCGCGCCTGAGTTGCGATACCGCGAGTTGCGATCGAGGGCGAGAGAAGAGAGTCCGCCGTCGATCCGCCGATTTGCTCTCGTCCGATTCGCCCCGCAGCGACGCCCGCCACCTCCGCGCCGCGGAGATCCGCGTATCCAGGCTGTGATTTATCGGAGAGCAGAGAGAGAGAGAGAGAGAGAGAGAGCACATATGCAGCCTCCATATGCGTTATTGCCTTGAAGAAAAAGCGCGTCATTCCGCGTGTTTCCCGCGGTGTCGATTGGCCGCGCCTCGGTCGCGGATCGTCGCGCGCTTCGGCCTGGCGCCGAAGGCTCGCGATTGCCATCGCGCAGGAAGCTGCCGCGTCCTGACGCCTCTGAATGTCAAGGGCAGGTTGACAAATAAAGCAACGTGTTATATTGATATCGGGTATAGAGAACGTAAACTTTTGACGCGAAAAACACTGAGGCAACGGCTTTTCCTTTGTGCGTGCTTCGCCGGTTGAAAGTCATATAGCTCAAGGAGCCGCTGAGCGATCATAACAGTCCTTGACGCGGCGGGGAACGAATCGGGAAAACGTCGCGCGTGAGATTCCCCCGATTGTCCCGATCGAAAGTCGTGCGCGAGACGCGTCGTGTTGCTTCGCGTGCGTAATTATCGCGCGCCACGCTTGTGCTTCGAGCAACGAGACCTGCGTTCTTGAATCTCAATGGCAATTGCCGTCTTTCGTTTTCAACGCGTTAAAAGGGTAAAGCATGCTGTCTCGAGCCTCTGTGTTTTTGACGCATCAATGCGCCGACGATACGAGCGCAACCTGACCTAACCGGAAAACTTGCTTTCTGTTCCAGATCTGTTGGCGCGGAGCTCGCGGCCACGCGGTGGATGCAGATGCGCTGCACCGGAGGATCCGGTTCGGGCCGAGCGGGATCGGCTCGAAGGTGAGTTTACAGAATTTCCATACTCTCGCATTTCCTTCACTCTCTTTGCGATCGAAAACTGGAGCACGGTTGTCCGAGGAAAAAGCCGTCGTCTGCGAGTTGCGTTGATCGCAGAGATCTTTACGCGCGTATCTCTCTCTCTCTCTCTCTCTCTCTCTCTCTCTCTCTCTCTCTCTCTCTCTCTCTCTCTCTCTCTCTCTCATTGAGTTAATCAAGTCTCGTGTCTAATCGGCGATATCGCTTTTTTTGCTTCAGATCTGTCAGCAGAACGTGGCCGATTCCGAGTTCCTGGTATTTCGGTGAGTTAGAAAGAAAAACGAATACAAAGATTTAAGGTGGTGGGTTGTCACTGGTATTTACAATGTCTGCTCAAAGTCAACGCCCCATTTAGCCGGCGTTGTACACATTTTTATATATACTGAGAGAAAAACATTTGATCAATTAATCATGTCACTTAGCGCATGCTGCGCTTAAGTGAAAATCGCGAAATTGAGTACCGATGAAAAAGTTACCGCGTGCAGGGTGGGAAGAAATTACTTGAAGAAGCTTTACAGATAGACTCGTGTCCGCGCTCGTACTGCCTAGTACGCGATAAAAAACAGCAGAACGTCTCGGCTTAAATATTAATTATCTAGGATAACCCCAAGTTTCATTCTTCCGATTTGCGGCAATAAGCAAGAGGCGTGAAAAAGAAACACCGGCCGCCGATACAATTGTAAATATTGCTTAGAAGCGTCGTAAAAGAAGATCAAGCACGCTCTCAATAAAGTAAATTGGATTTTTTTCTTAACTCGATCCTCGACTACCCCGAGGTATGAGGGGGGTAGCTAATCCATGTCAACAGACCTCGCTCCGTCTCCAGACGCGATCTATTCTCGCGGCAAAACGCACGGGACAAATAGATATACAATCAGATCATTCGCGAATTGACCAAACGCCAACGCCGCGACACAGACGCGACCTCGAGCGGCCTCGGAGAGGCGCGGAGGTGGCGAAAAAACGGATAAAAGTGCACGTCCCTCGGGCGCGCGGGGGCTCGGGGCGAAGAAAGACGCGCTCACTCGAGAATCGCATACGGCGGGTGCACGGCGGACTATTGATTTGGCGCGCTCTCGCACTTACGTACAGAAACCAGAGAGCCTGCACACCCTCTCTCGGGGCTGTGCAACGAGTGCATGTCACGGATGCATCCACGAGGAGCGTCCGTAGCGCGCCGCGCGCGCGTCTGACGGATGCACCTCGGGCGGGCGGGCGAGCGAGCGAGCGAGCGAGCAAGAGAAAAAGAGAGAGAGAGAAGAGAGAGAGAAACAGAAAGAGAAAGAGCGCGCATGTCTGTGTTAGTGAACTGATCGCATTACATGGCATTAAGGCACTGGTAAGCCTCTCGTTGTGCGAACGACTATAGCCGAGACTTACACGAGGCTTAGGTTTGTTCAGGCCGCACGAGACGATGCATTAGATTTGCCCCCTTCCCTCCCAGCCCTCCCCCTCGGACGCCGTGCGCCGTGCCCCTCGTAACCCCGGCCCGTCATTCGACTCGATTGTCGACGGTAACGTACCATCGAGTTTCCTTTGCGTGATTAGGAGCGTTCCCGGAAATTTTGTTCGAGCTCGCTGAAAGGATCCGTGCGCCAATTAATTCTGGATTAGTTTGCGGAATTGAATATTTCGACTCGCGGCATGCCGCGCGAGTTGCGACAGCGAGGCGTCGCGTCGCGAGGCTTCGTTTTGCTTCCTTTTTTCTTTTTTCTTTTTTTTTTTTTTTCTTTTCTTTCTTTCTCTCGGAAAATGCCACCGCCATGCGGGAGAGGCGCGGCGGTGGCATTTTCTACCGGTTTACGAGATAGAGGCGCTCGCTCCCATGAATATGAGAATTCTCCTTCTCACGTTGGATGTAACTTTGCGCTTCGCCGATCGCCTCGCGTGGTGATCGGTGCTGGTAACACTTCGTCTCGGGACATCTTCAACGACGCTTGATGGATCATCGCGTAATCGCGCATTGCAAAAGCTCGCGTTATCAACTGTCGTCATCGGCCAATAATGACGTTTCGCGAATAATGAGGCTACCAAATCGAGAGAGAGAGAGAGAGAGAGAGAGAGAGGGAGGGAGGGAGGGAGGGAGGGAGTAGGAGACTACATGATAAGAGGAAACGAGTGATCGTCGCTTCTTTTCCTCCCGCGTCTCGAGATAACCACGCTGTTCGAAGCGTTTGCACATTAGCCCCGGTGTTAATGGCCGCGCGATCGCGCGATGACCGTATGACACGACGGATATTTTCCACGAAAATCGCGGATAAAGCCTCGAGCCGGTCCGTTTGTAATTACACCTCGAGGGAATGCTTTGTTGCGATGCGGAGAACGCGCAGGCATTCCAACGCTTCCCGCCGTTTTGCCGCATAATATAATTAACTGCAAAAGTTAAGTAAAACTCCGGCAGCCGCAGGTGCAAATTTCTCGGCGCGCTTTGATTCGCTTATTAATCAGAGGACGGATATACGTATACGCGCGGAAAGCGGCTATCGATCGCCGAGAATTAAACCTGGAGACAATGGTCTCTCTCTCTCTCTCTCTCTCCTCTCTCTCTCTCTCTCTGCAGTGTCAAGGCCATTAATTTAACACCCGCGCTAATGGGCCCGCTAGAAAATACATATCGCTCGCGTTGTACGTATTACAACGCGCGGTCATGGGAGTTTCACGAGCGAACGAGTTAATTCGCCGCGTATCGCAATACGATCTTTCCGCGGCGGTATGATGATAAATGACGTGACAACTCGCTGCACCGGAGCGGCCCCGCTTTTTTCTCCCTCCTCCATCCCCCCCCTCCCCTTCCCCGCCGCTCGTTATTTTTTTTAAATGGTGTGGCGAATCGGCTCGTCACGCTCGGGCGGCGTTACAACGTCTCGTGACGAAAGGACGCCGCGCGTCGCGCGAGTTGTTAAAAAAATTAACGAAACAATGCGTCGCGGCTGTCAGTGCTGTTTAACACCCGCTACGGTCGAGAGAAGCCTGCGATCATTCGCCGTGCAGTCGTGCGGGTTACACGTACGTTGTGGGCTGGGGTGTACGCTTGAATCAAGAGGTCGCGTAAATTATTCGCGAAGTCGTCTCCCCGACGAAATCGGCGCCGCGGTCTCACCATCGTCGTCGCGTTCACGCGCGCGCGCGCGAGATATCGTCGCTGTCAATCTGATATACATCGTACGTCCAAAAGTATCTCCCAGTCATATGCGCGATCGGGTTCGCGCGATCGGGGAATATACGAGAGAGGAAGAGAGGAGGAGAGAAACCGAAAGGAAGCGGTTTTCCTGCTTTCGTCAGAGATCCGCTCCCGCTGGCGCCCTCAAAGCGCGTTCTTTGTGCGACCACAAAACGATCTGTAGGGCCAATATAAAATTCAAAGCCACCAAGTGGCACCCTCCACGTTAACGACAGCGCCGCCCCTGAGCATCAGTATGCTAATCCGATGATTGGCTATGTTCCAACCCCGATCCCTCTCTCTCACCGCGTTATTCTCTCTCTCTCTCTCTCCCCCTCCCTCCCTCCCCCTCCCTCTCTCTCTCTTCCCCTTCTCACTCTCTCGATCCGTCTGTCCATCTTTGTCTCGCTGCCGGCGCTCCCGGTGTTTCCCGGTCGTGTGCTCTCTTTCTCTCTCTTTCTAGTTCTAGCCTCTGGCTTCCTGATGGCGTCCAACCACCCTTAACCGAAACCATAAGCCAAAACTAACCCTTATTCTAATTAGGCGGTGGCGCGACGCGCCCCCTGCTTTGCATATTTTCTCGATTAACCTCGCCCTTTCTTTATTCGCTCGACGTCGCAGAGCGCCGCAATTTTCGGAAAATTCTCTGACCCGCGCCTTACATCGCGTCCTATTTTTCCCCGTGATGAGTTTATCGTAAAACATGTCGGCAGCAGATGTCAAATAGAGAGAGAGAGAGAGAGAGAGAGAGAGAGAGAGAGAGAGAGAGAGAGAGAGAGAGAGAGAGAGAGAGAGAGAGAGAGAGAGAGAGAGAGAGAGAGAGAGAGCACGAGTTTCTATTGGCCCATGTACATATGTCAATATTATTTTATTTTGCTGTATATTTTTCTCAGACACGCGTTACCCGCGTAATTTTGTTGTTAAATTCATAACACATCGGAAACGTACAACCGGCTCATTTAATATTAAAACGCTTCCTCCAATTGCGAATTATATATTGATAGAGCAAATGTAGATCTTTACTGATGCGTGAATACAAAGAATGTTTACATTTCATTTATGTCGCGTGCGTGATAAGTATTACCGCTCTCCTCCCCTCCTTTCTTTCGACACAATACCGACAAATTATTTTACACGTTGAACCAAATACTCTACGAGTATTTGCATTTTCTGAGGGTAACGAGGGGGGTGTAATGAGACACTCGTGTTATAGGATGTCTTGTTAGCAAAATTTTGATTTCGAGATGTATTTCCTCTCACTTATCTTGAATCTTTCGACAGTCTTTCACGTTGAAAAGCGCGGAAAAGAGCCAACGCTCCCCTCCACCTCGATTTAATTTTTCGGTTAGATTGCTCCGTACACTCGCTCGAGGATCATAATTTCGTCGGCGCGGTAGCGCAACGCGGATTAGCGGCCGTTTCAATTGCCATGCATAGCAACTTAATTTCACGAAGATCCACTTGAGTTTTAACCCCGCGACCAATGAGTTCGAAATGGGGTTTCCATAGCAGCCCGGTCCGCGGGCAACAACGGGCCAGCATTCCCCTCGAGGAAGCTCTCGCTGACATAAGCTCATAAACCCGCAATATTGAATACAAATGGACGGTACTGCCGGCGATGCGGAGTGCAAATGAGCCCTGTGAAACCAACCCTTAGGTCCGGGGGTGACCCTAAGGCCGGCATAATAGCGCCGATCGAGGGGAAGCTCGAAAGGTCTACGATCAATTAGGTCGACCCCGAAGACAGATTCGCTCTTTGCTCTTCGCGAAGAGCGAGAGAGAGAGAGAGAGAGAGAGAGAGAGAGAGAGAGAGAGAGAGGGAAAGAGAGGGAGAGGGAAAGAGAGGGAGGAGGGAGGGGTGGACAGAAGGGACATCCCTGTTTTGCATCGAGGGTAAGTTTTAATCCGTCCTGTATTGACGCGGATCGTTTATTCGTAGGGTTTTTTCTCTCTCTCTCTCTCTCTCTCTCTCTCTCTCTCTCTCTCGGCGCGGACGCACGACGAGGAGCACTCGGCCCACTTTGATCCGCGTTTCCTTTCAACTCTTTCCTGATACTTTGCAAGATACACATTTTCGCGAGGCGAATTCGGTGAAACTGTGTTAGAGTTTTCCACAGCGACAAAATCTCGCGTCTGGCGTGGATCCGCCTTCCGTCTCCCTCAATTTCTCAGGAAAGAGTCGACGTACACATATATGTGGCTGACTTAGGATGCAGTTTTGAAAGCGATACTCACTTTTTCTCGCGCTTCCCCGCGCCGGTGTCCCGAAATCCTTTCGCGAAGGGGTTGTTATCGATCTTCAGCTGAGTGATCTGCGCAGAAAAGTAATGTCTTTGAACATACGTATTTTTTCGCGGCGACAAGTTTCTTCTGCGACGATTCGAAAGAGAATTCCCGTCGGTTCGAGCTGTGAATTCGCGCTCCGATGAATAGACGCTCTAGCCGATAACCTTTCCCCTGGATATACCGCAAAGGCGCGATAATTAAGATAGAGAAGCGTACAGCCCCGTGTACACAGACGACCCACCCGAAATCTGTACAAGGCCCCGTCTCTTCTTGCGGCGGTCGCGTGGTGGTGTGCGTGTGAGTAAGTCTCATTCATTGAAAATAATGTATACCGAGAAGGCTCGTTCTTCCACGAAAAACGGTCCTCGCGCGCGTCCGCGGCGGCTCGAAGCGACGCGGAGAGGCGAAGAAAGATATTAATTAACGGAACGGCAGCCACTCTCTGTAAAACGCGCGGAGATAATAACGCGAGATCGTGACCTCGCGAACGCACATTCCTGCCTCCGCGTGCGCGCGAGCTCTGCCGTTCTCTCGGCAACAAAGTGTCAACTTTTCGAAGGACGAAAAGTAGGGAAACGCTCCTTCGTTCTCTCTGCATCTACGCCGACAATTTTTCGCAAAAGACGCAAAACGGAAAGAGGACGGAGTAAGTCTTGCTTTGAATTTTTTCTCTTTTTTTTTTTCCTTTTTTTTTTTGCCAGAACTTTAAGACTTTTATATAGAAAGCGTCGTCACTCCTGCCTCGCCCGGCTTTAAAATATATTTCTTTCGAATCCCCGGGAGGAACGTTCTCACAAATTAACCGGATTAATACACCTGCTGGCGTATCGGCGAAGCCGTAAATCGCTTACCTTTTCGTTTTGATAGGCCGTCACGGCGATGAATTCCGTCTCTTTGAAAACGTAACTCCTGAACGTCGAGTACGGAAGCTTCAGGATGTCGTTGGCTCGCACGAGGTGAAACCTCGGCTGATATTTGTGCATCGAGTTCAGTATCGTCTGCAATAAAGGAAGGGAGCATATATTGGGACAGACTATTTTGTGCTAACGTCGGATAGAAGCGTTTGCAATTAACTCGCTTCGCACTTTCAGACCGATCGCTCGACCGCGCAATTTCGCATCTCGGCTCTTTTGCAGATCGAGACGAGTTTGCGCGCGCTACGTATGTTTACATTAAATTCTCGTCCTTGCGAGAGACAGGTGCTCTCTCCGCGCCGCGTTGCCGCGTGTCTTCAGAAAATTCGTACGGAAAATTTATCGCATTTCTGCAAAAACGTCGTATCGATATTCGACCGAGCGACCGACTTGTCAATCGACTCGACACGTGTATCGCCCGTCGCGTTGTTGACGGTCTCGCGGCGAGCAGCGTGGTCTGAAAGTGATCTACGGGGCGGCGCAGAATTAAGAAACGAAAAAGCGACGCGACGCACGGAGAAAAATATAGAGATACGTCAGATTAAAAAGAGTGTCAAGAAGGTGTTGCCTTTAATCACACGAGCGTGTGCGCCGGCACGTTACCCTCTCTCTCTCTCTCTCTCTCTCTTTCTCTTGCTCGCTCTCCTTCTCCCTTTCTGCCCGTTAATTAATCTTCGTGCAAGGATTTCATAAAGTTCCGTGCGGGCCGAAGGAACGAGCTTGGCAAAGCGGCTATTACACTGATGCATCATGCCGAGAGCCGATCGATATAGCCTGCAAACGCGAGCCGAGCTTTTCGGCCGTGCCTCCGCGCGCGTAGTTTTACCGCCGCTGACGATGACGATCGTGGTTACATATTTACATTGGAAACGTAATTATTTGTCGGAGATATCCCCGGTATTCATTATAAATGTTCGGGCGGCTTGCTAATTGACAGAAATGACTATGATAAAATGGGGTGCGTGTGTACCTTCGCAACGGCGCGTACGTAACGATTCAGCGCGGTGCTTAACGCCAAATTGCTACTGTTTAGTGTGATGTACACATTTGTCAAATTATTGTAACAACCAAGTTTCGGCACTTGCTCTCTTACTCTCTCTCTCTCTCTCTCTCTCTCTCTCTCTCCTCTCTCTCTCTCTCTCTCTCTCTCTCTCTCTCTCTCTCTCTCTCTCTCTCTCTCTCTCTCCCGCCCTCCTCCCCCTCTCTCTCTCTTTTTCTCTCTTTCGCACACTCTTCTGTTCTTTCGTTCTCTTTTTCTCTCCTCTTGATCCCCTTTCTTCTCCTCTCTCTTTCTCCCTCCCTCTTCCTCTCTCTCTCTCTCTCTCTCTCTCACACTCTCTCTCTCGCTCTCTCTCGCTCCCTGATTACGGTAATTTGTCGACTTTACCTTCCGATTAGGGCTCGCGTTACACAGACGAACGCTCATCGATCTTGCTAAACGAACGCGAATATGCACGAGACGAGTCGCTCGCGAGAGTTACAATCGCGTCCGAGCAAATTTGCCGGGCACAGGTTGCCTTTATTACGATCCACGAGGCTGCTCGGAATTATTCCGGCACGCAAAACGAAAAGGGCGAGACGAGACGAGACGAGGCGAGGCGAGGCGAGGCGAGGCGAAGCGAGGCGCCTCTCGCACGCGTAGTACGTCGCGTTTGTACGTTGTAAGGAGAGAAAAGGAGAGAGGAGAGAGAGAGAGAGAGAGAGAGAGAGAGACAAAGGGAGGAAGAGAGATTAATACGTGAGTGGTAACGAGCAAGTTACGGGGGTCGAAAACGTCGACGATCGATAGCACCGGAAGCCGTGTCATCGCTCGATTCTGCTGTCGAATTCACGAAGATGGATTTTCGAGTCCGCGACGGACCACTTCCGGCCCTTCGCCCCCCGGTCCCGCTGCTATTGTGAGGCCGGCCTCGATCGCCATAGGCATAATTTATACAGTGGTTATCGGTGCATAGTGATCGATAGACGCGCATCGAAACATGGCCGACCGTATTCTGGATATTGAGCCGTGGGGGGCTCAATCGAATTCCCTTATTAATTCAATGGAATCCGCAGTCTCGCTGCCATTTGGCCAAATAAAACATATCGATATCGTGCTTATCACTCGTATATCGTGACTGCGTCGTGTGAGCGGAGGAGCGAGATTAATTTCAGCGTAGCGTCGAAACCGGTTCATCCGCCACCGCGAGAGGAGCTCTCGAGGTGGTTCTCTCTTATAAACCAAAAAAAGATCCTCACCTTCGTCAAAGGAAACATTTATTATCCGAGATTGTTGCGGTTCGTTTTACATCGGATCCAAAAACTCGGACAAGAAATAAATTTTACACAAACGTTGCTACAACGCGCGCGCGCGCGCGCGCGCGGCTAGAGCTGTGTGCGTGTGTAATAAAGTAATTTAAATTATGAGCTTCGTAATAAAACGCAGCACAGGCTGACACAACACCATCCTCAGTTTCCCCGCCTGCATCATGAACAACGTCATTACGATATTAATCTCGGAGTTAGTCTACTGAACTAGAAAAGCAGCCAGACGCGCCCGGGGATTGTGTTCGCGAAAGCCTTAAAATTTTCACGACGTTCCGTAATTACCCGCAGATGATTACATAATGACACGAAACGTACGGACAGAGCAGAATCGCGTGCGAATAGATCGCATTGCGTAGTACGAGCTCCAATTTCTTCTCCAATCTCTGTGAATCAGCGCCGATGAAGAATCACGTGAAAATTCATCGACCAATCTGTCGGTCTAAAGAAGCACGCTCGACACTGTAATTCTTTCGTCACTGGTTCATCGTAACATACAGTGAGATGCCTGCTATCGATATTATCGCTATCGATAACGATAACGAAGCGAAAAGTATGACGAGCGATTGAAGAGTGTGGTGCTTATTTCTGTGTCGACGCTCGGCCGGCATCGACTGTCTATTTTCACTCCTCTGTCGCTCCGTCGCGCGTGGTTTCTTCTGTTTTACGCACGCGGAGAGCGAAACAATGTGGTTGCGAATTAACGTGCAACGACGAAGCAAACGGAGATTTTTGCACGAAGCAAATCGAATTTCCGGCACGTGCGGATGAAATTGGCTTTCGAGTAAGAGAACGGTCCTATTTCCTCCGGCCGAGGCGCCTTTGGTTCGCTCGTCGTCGCGTCAATTCAACCAATCCTTTTTCTCCGTGCAGACGTGCACTGCCGGCAGCGTCGCTTTAATTCGTGGGGAGTGGGCGACTAACAAGATCACGGAGGACATTCCGCGTCGACGAGGAACGGACGAACGCATCCCCGACGCTGTTGGCCGATAAATCTGTTTATGCGCAGACGTTTCGCCCCGGAATCCAGGTAATTACCGTGAACTGGAGGATCGTGAACTTTCGCGGTTGAAAAACGGCTGAAAAGCGGCCACGAGTGCGACGTGTCTTTCGGCGAAAATCGCAAAGTGCCGCGCGGATAAATGCGCGGGGAAGCGGCACGGCCAGAGGATTATAGCGTGGCCTCTTGAAAGAGTGGGCAAATACATTAGTCTGGAAAAGTTGCCCGGCTATCCGGGGCGAAAAGTTCTTAATAGCGCTAACTTGAAATTTCCGAAACAATTAGACCGCTTCTCTCTTAATGACGAGTCAACGCGAGCCCGACGATATGTGTCTGTCTGTCTGTCTGTCTGTGTGGACAGACTCTGTGTTACGAGCGATGTTTCTCTCTTTCCTTTTAATTTCGAGCCATTTCGCATTATTAAAAAAATTGCACGACGGTGAGAGCTTTGGGCATGAAAAAAAGAGGAACTTTGCAAGAATTCGAAACTATACTTAAATCGCTATCTCTGTGTGATGTAAAGTACATTCGCGCAGCTGGATCTCTCTCTCTCTCTCTCTCTCTCTCTCTCTCTCTCTCTCTCTCTCTCTCTCTCTCTCTCTCTCTCTCTTCCTCTCTGTCAATGAGATGGGAGAGTCGAAAAAACGCACAAAGGCCATAAAATCCGCGCGTAAATCAACGAGCGTTCGTCGCTGGTCGCTGTCGCGAAGGACGAAAATCCGCGGCCGAGAGCCGGCCACGTCCGGCCGGCGGGAAAAACAGAGATCGCCGGAGCAGACATCGGGAGGGACGGCAGGGGTCAAAGGTCCACGTCGCGTCGGCGAACAGAGTCGGCCGATAATCACCGTGCGTGGAGGCATAAGTGGAAGAAGACCGACCGTGCGGCGCGCAACGCCATCCAATCCGCGGCGAGAAATTCACGTCCGCCGCGCGCGCACGCGGCAACAAATAAAATCCGTCGACACACTCGTGCGTGTAAATCGCATGGCACACCATGCAAGCTGGAGAGAGAGAGAGAGAGAGAGAGAGAGAGAGAGAGAGAGAGAGAGAGAGAGGAGGAGGAGGAGAAGAAGGAGGAGAGCCTCGTTCCCTCGCACAGACGCCATTATGCGCGGCGCGGCACAAAGGGGAAATAATTAGCGCTGGCCGGGTGATAAGCCGGCAATCTAGGCGTTTGTCATTAGCCTATCAAAGCCGAATGCCTCTCCTTCTTTCTCTCCTTCCCGTGCCGCCGCCACCGCCACCGCCGCCGCCGCCACCGCCACCGCCGCCGCCGCCGCCGCCACCGCCGCCGCCGCCGCCGCCGCCGCCGCCGCCGCCGCCGCTGATCCCCCTTCCGGCGCCCCCGCCTCACGACGCCCCGGCGGTCCCCTCACCTCTATCTCATTTCTCGTGGACCTTCGGCCTCGACACGCCTCTGGCGCCGTGGAAAATATGTGCGAACGCCGATCGGAGCAATTAGTATTTCTCCGGACTCTAATCTGGGTTCGCTCGAGCGCGGCGAATGCGCGTCTTTCGCGGTAGATTTTGCCCGTCGAACATGTCGGCGAATGGGGAATAAAAAGGAAGAAAGACGAAAGGAAGGGGAGGATACGGTTCGCGGGAGAGGAAAGGGGACAGCCGGCGGGGCGGGGGAGGGGCAGGAGGAGAGAGCTAGTATCATGAGATGCTCCTGGAGCGTGAAGAAGAGAGAAGGAATGAGAGAAAAGGGGGGACCGCGCGAGGGGCAGGAGAGAAGATGGTCGGGCGATGGAAAGCAAGTGGTAGGATCTGAAACGGT